ATGTATATGGATATGGATATGGATATGGATATGGATATGGATATGGATATGGATATATATATATATATGTGTGTGTATGTGTATGTATGTATGCATGTATGTATGTATGTATGTATGCATGTATGTTTGTTTTAGTTGTAGGATGGTGAGTCCGTATGCAGGATCTACAGGAGTCATGCGCTTACAGTCCACTACAAGTCTTCTCAGCAAGAGTGACCGGGTCAAACGACGATAAAAAAAAAAAGCAGAAAAGCAGGAGAATGCGCATGAGCTGGCCCTAAACCCTAAACCCCACTGGTATCTATCAGGACGAAGGTCGCAGACCATCAACCATCCCCCGCTCCGCTTTGAAAAAAATACTTCCGTACCTCAGTGTCCACCGCGCGGGTTGCTGCCAGGTCTGCTTTGTTGCCCGCAAGGGCAATGAGGGTGTCAGTATCTCGGCCCACATTCAAGGGGTTCCAAGCATCTGTCATCTTGTGGGTACTACTTACTACAGTCACGGAAACTCGTAATATTAACGGAAAACCCACTATGAATGTCATGCTAGCATGATAACTACCCTCAGGTGATACGGAAATCTCGCTTGCAATCCGCGGCCGTTGAGATGGTGGCAGCTTTCCAGATTGACGCGGCTTTTTTGTTAGCTTGTGTGTTGTGGTCAGATAGGTCAGATAGGCTAATACTGCTCATGATCGAAATCCTGCATGACCTTAAGGGGGAATTACGGTATATTCCGTATTATCGGTAATGCAAACCCTAAACCCTAAATCCTAAGCCCTAAAGCCCTAAACCCTAAACCCTAAACCCCAGGATTTATCTCATCAACCGTCGGTCTCACATTGTGAGCTCGCTTGCATCTTGCCGAGCACTTGACATGACTTTCTGTTTTATAAGACAGGGCTGACGAAAGCAGCACTGATTTCTATAAGCATGCCAGAATACTAAAAATAACACATTTAATAGAAGTAAAAACAGTGCTAGCTTTGATGTCAGCCTTCATCACAACAGCCAGAGCTGCGACATTCCTGGCAACAATCACATGATCACAGTACCGTCGGGGCCAGACCCCCCTAAACCCTAAATCCAATGGGACCCTTTTTGAAACTGCTCAGGGTTTAGGGTTTAGGATATAGGGTTTAGGGTTTAGGATTTAGGGCTTATAAGGGTTTACCTGAACTCAAAACCCTGAAGCAAGGATCCGACTCTGTAGCTCCTGCACCCAGCCCTTGGCGGCTTCGAACGACTCCTCGCAGGCGACCCAGGGCGACCAGACGGCTGTTTTTTGAGGCTTTTGAGGTCTGGGTTTCAAAGCTTGGGGTTGAGGGTTTTGGGCTTTTCAGATTTCGGGAATAAGGCATAAGGCATTAGGGCTCGGCTCTTGGTTTGCCTTGAGATTTCGGCTTGCGTGGTTAAAACATGCGGGGTTCGGGATCTTATTTCCTTTACCCCCCCCCCCCCTGCACCTTGGCACTAGTTTAGGGTTCAGAGAGCTGAGGCTTCAACAGGGTTTGTCTAGGGCGGCTTCGGGTTTTTCGCCCTCCTGCCTGACAAACCTACGATGAAGGGTCTGATTGCAGGTGAATTCTATAACTCATAACTGTTGAGGCGGCCCCCTTCTCACGTTTTTGAGTAGAGCCCTGGGGGGAAATTCACTGAGTGAGATCCCGAAAAAAGCCCTTCCAGCTGCAATCGCAAAAAAAACATGCAGTGCCCATCAGAAGACTAATGCTATGTCCGCCTCTCACTTGCGGCAAACTGCCGACTCACTCCTTTCCAAAGCTTCCACCCAATCTCGATGTGATCCGTTGCTCATCGCAAATGGCCACTCTCACCATATCGAAGCGCAAAAAAAGTCCATGCACTCCATGCAGTATTGCACAGCGGGCATCACTTCTCACTTCAGAATTCCATGCAGCTCCAAAACATGCAGACATCCATGCAGAGGGGGCAATGTCGGCAACCACGAACCCTAAACCCAAACGCCTAAAACCCTGAACCCTGAACAATGTTTTTGCCCGGGCTTGACCTTGAGCTTTAAACCACGAATCGGCACCGTGGCCTTAGCGGTGATGTCAAAGACTATGACAGCAGCGGCAGCCTTGGGATCACTAGGGCGCAGGGCACATGTGGAGAATTAGAATCGCTTTTAGGCCTCCTTGTTTTGATAGTGATGCCCTGTTCTGGGGATCCCAACGGGAGGCTATTTTAGCGAACCGTTTGGTTGTCGGTTTGCTTTTTCGCTTGTCACCTGTCGGAGATATTGTGAACATGACACACTGGTCTTCTGACTCTGAGTTTGCTTAGGTCAGCCTGTGGAAAAAAACACAACACAAGGATACGACAGCCCACCTACGGTAGTGCTCGGCGAGCGCTAGATGTGACCACAAGAGACAACGGGAGGAGCGTCTACATTCCAATTACCTAAAACAACTGTGGGGGGTGAACCCCGAGCCTTACAAACCCTGAACCCGTGACCCCAAATCCATAACCCTACGAATCCTAATCCCTCTCTCTAGACTCTAGACACCCAACTTACCATGCCGCCCAGATCGAGGCCCGGGCACCCCTGTAGTACATGGGCCTTGCCGACTTCTTTGGTTCTTTCCAACCAGGTTCGGGTTGATGGTTCCGGGTGGAGGCGGTTGGATTCCGGTGTTTCTTCCCGTCAAGAGGCCAACCTTCAAAGCTCCCTTGCAAAAAGTTGGGGTAGGTGCGGGACATCCTGCGAATTTCTGCAAGGCTCTGGGATACAGGATTGCTTGTGGCCTGGGGACGGGTAAGAAGGCAGGTCCACGTCGCAGGTTGCGGCGTGGAGTCCATCGTGGTTTAGAGATTTAGATCTTGGAGCCTCAGCAAAAACTTGGCAGCCAACCATACCTGTGCAAAATCCGGGACCATAGGCCCATCACGCTGAGTAAGAAGCCCCAAATCGCAAACCCCATGCGGCAGGGGAAACCTAATTCAAGGGCCTGGCCTAACAGTTTGAATTGGGTTTTGGTGAAATGTGCTTGTGCGCAGGAATCCCTTGGACCTAGGATAGTATTAGTAATTATTTGGGCCCCTTATACATCTTGAGGCAACACATCCTGAGCCCCAGACCCGAACCCTTCCTGTAACGCAATGACCCATGACGCCGACAAACGGTGTAAGCTAAACCCTAAGCCCTAAGAGGATGCTAGGGCTTCAAACTGGTTTAAACTTGCGGTTGCGAGACGCCCTAGATCGCTCCAGAAAGTCCTATAACTGCGTTCCCAAACATCAAAGCCCAGAATTAGTAGATTCCCCCCAGACAAAACCTTGTCAGAAGCTCATAAAACAGTACCGAGGCCTGCAAAAAACCCTCATGAACCTTCGCTCTGCCTCTACTCTTCCTTGCCTGCCCCTTTTTTTGCTAAGCCCTACCTGTAGTCTCCATTGTAGCTCCATTTTTTGGTTTAACCAATTCTATAGTAAGGATCCTAAAAGGTAACCCCAAAAAAGGAACTACAATGGAGACAATGGGTAAACTCTGAAACCTACGGCAACCGGGTCCCCGGACGCCAAGCTCTTGTAGCGCTCTTGCCCTGCAGTGTCCCAAATCTCAAACTTCACGACCTGCAAGGCAGGGAGCCTAAGGTTTCCTTTGAGGGGTTGAGGTTCTGTTTAGGGTTTCGGTCTTATTGCTTAGGGTTCAGGGCTTAGGGCCTTAGGGATTGAGGCTTAGGGTACCCTAAACCTTTTTTTTTTGGAGCAGGGCTCTACAGTTATGCCTGCCCCTCCAACCTTGAGCTCAGGACAGGATGGCCGATAAAGAAAGCAGTCACATGTGGATGCCAAGTTTCGGGAATCACATTAAAGTCGACGCAAACGTATGATCTGTACACAAAGTGCAGAAAAGACGGTGCATCTGACCTGACAGCTCCTGCAAATCAGCATTGCGTCGTGAGAAGTTGTATGGCGCAGGCACGCTCCAACATCAACATATGAGGAATGGCCCAGCTTATCGCGCTGTGTAAGCATGTCGCCTGGCAGCTACAAGCTTGATGCTGCTCTACACGATGCGACAGCTGTCTGATCTACCATTCCGACATACCAGAGCACTAACCATGGAACCCCCTGTCCGAGGGCTCGCCTCAAAGACTGTCACTCTGTGGGAACACATATTTTTGGAGGGTGAGTCTACGTGTACCAAATTTATGCCGCCCTAGTCTCTCACTGGCTAGTTCGACGGGCATCGGGTGTGGTCAACGAGGTTGGGGTCCATGGAACCAGGATGCAGACGTAGGACTAAGGTCCCGGTCAAATGGAATGTTGCGCTCCACCGTTGACCACCCAGAGAACCCAATATCCCTTAGTTAAGGAATATACCTTAAATCTGAATATTAAGGCCCCTATAATTTAAGGTATCTTGCTTTATTAAGGGGTATTGGGCTCTCTGGGCAGTTCGTCCCAAGCCACACGCATGGGGCATCAGGCCGTGGGTATATGTAGTTCCATCAACCGGGAACCCAGGAGGTAGCCCCAGGTAGACGAGATTTTGCAGAGCAACATGTTCGCACATAGTCGCCGTCGGAGCTTCTTTAACGTTTCAGCGTTCTGCCGCGTTTTCCTTTGCAGAGGAGGTGGGGGTTTAGAGTTTGCATACGGTCTAGGACTGGAGGCTTGGGTTTTCGGGAGTTGTCTTCGTTTCGAGCGCTGGGTGGGTTTAAGGACCCACGAGCATGTGTTTTGCCCTATGTGTTGTTGATTAGGGTTTCGGTTTCTGGCTTTGTGCGCGGCGCTGAGGGTGGTGGGCCTACGTCTGAGGATTCATGAATTTAGGAGCTTTAAGATCTACCTGGACCCTAAAAAACCAACCTTGTTCGGGACCCTTGTCAATATTTCCTTATACAAGTCCTTGAACAGGTAGGTTCTTTGGGGTCCAGGTAAGGTTTAGTGCTCAGGGGTTTAAGGCTACCCCCAAGCCCTAAACCCTAACCCTGAACCCTAAACCCTATAAACCCTAGCTAAAGTTTAGGGGCCGCGTAGTGTTGGGGAAGCTTGAGGAGTCGGGAGTTCTTTGCCGAGAACAGGGTTGCTGAGGAAACCCTGCAGTTTAGGGGTTTAGGGTTTTGGGGGTTTAGGGTTTTGGGGTTTAGAGGTTTCGGGTTTAGGGGTTTGGGTTGAGGGGTTTAGGGCTTAGGGGTTTAGGGGTTTAGGGTTTGGGGGTTTAGGGTTTTGGGGTTTCAGCACTCACTCTCGATGGGGTTTAGGGTTTAGGTTTTTGGTGCTTAGGGTTTAGGGGCTTTTATCCGACCGCTTCGGGGCTGGCTTTCCTGCTCGGACACTCTGTGGGATTAAGCAACAGTGCAGTAACCCTAACATCAAGCTCTTGTGGTTGACAGTGCATTTCCGGTTCTGTCTCTTAGAACCGCTAAGCTTCATCCGACCCTCGCCTCTGCATTCAGATTCACCGTCTGGGTCATGAATGCTGCGCCGATAGTCGGCTCCTCCAACTATAGTGGGTGCAGGAAACTCTTGGGGTGCAGGATTAAGGATTTGGGGATGCCCCGTCCTTGAGGGTTTGGTCTTGTTGAGTCAGGCAGGATCTGTGTAATTAGCACCTTGCAAAAACTCCCAGAACTACCTGGTACTCGTAGAACTCGCCCTTTGCAAAGCGAACGACCAGGCAAGACCTGAAGCTGCAAACGCGGGCAGGGGGGATACGGCACGCTGAAGGTTGCACGAATGCGCTTCACATTGTGTGTTTCGTCGCTCACTCTCGCACAAGGCAGGCAGCGCTCCGCACAATCCACAGGCGTGATTGACTGACTAACCATTAGCCCAGGAGTCAGGCCACACAAGGGACATTCCCCGACTGATTCAAGATGGTAAACTTCTATCCAAGGACATTGCCCCCAATCTTTTCTTCACAGCTGCCGCAGAGACTTTGTTGAATGAGGGCACATGGCGGTAGAGGTATTTCTCAAAATCTGGCAAGCAACGACCAAGACGGCTTCAATGGGCTCAAACGGCATCCTGCGCTCTCAAGAAATACCTCTGGAAAAGCCGGTTTGGCTCAAATCATTCGGGAACCTGCACCATGGCAGCCATGGCACAGTGCTGCTTTCGTGGGGCTGGGTCTTGAGGATTCTTGAGGTCTAGATTTAAGCCGAGGAAGCTAAGCTCAGAGTATCTCTAAACCACGCACATGGAATTGTGATGGCTTGTGCAAATGGGGAGTCAGGCCTAGACTGTCAGCCCTTCGGAGATGTGCAGAGCACGGTTTCGCCAGAAGCAGATGCAAAGAGTGCTTCGACAAAACCATGCGCAGCGGCTTCGCCACTGAACCTACAACACATCAACCAGTTGCTATCAGCAATTACATCGGTGACAAGAGGGGCATGCCATGGACCACACATTCTGCGATGTGTTCATAGCAACGCCTGGGCTGTACAACTGACAGCGCTATGCCTCTCAATCGGCGCTTGGCTGAGGACTTCCTGCTGGACGCATATTCCGATTACGACATGCCGGTGGAGCCGCCCTGTGACGGGGTCGCAAAGGCGGCGAGGGTGCCTGCTGACTGGCTGGCGCTGGGGCTGGTACCTCCAGGCTGGCTCGGGGGTGATAGGCCGAAGACGTCGGTGTGGTTGGTGCCTGTGCGGGGTATGTCGCTCCATCCGTTGCCCGCCTCGGCATGACCTCCGGCTCGCCTGAACCATGCTCCTGCATCTCAGCAGCTGCGATGGGCGGCAAAGATGACAGGCTTTTCCTGAACACTCTGCTGACCGCCGAGAGGGAACGTCGCACGCCGTCTACCAGGCCGCGGGACATCGACCTCGCGCTCGTGGTGCTCTTCCGACCACGCTTTGAAGTCGACGAGGAAGGCGATGCTGGCGGCGCCGGGTATACCGGATCACTGAGACGTGCCACACAATCAGCTCCCTGTGGCGATCGTGCAGGTGGTGGTGCTGAACGAACGATCTGGGAATGAGCCTCAGATTGGTGCGGCTCCAGCATGCTAGGTATTTCTCTTGGAAGGGGAACAGCGCCCTCTTGCTGCGAATAGTGCATAACCTCCACGGAACCCTCTGGCGAGTTCATCGGTGAGTTTATCAGCTCATATTCCAGCTGCGGAGGTGATGGGCCGTCATGTCCAATTCCTAGGTGTCGATTTCAACAGCCCCCATAATTACTTGTAATTACGTAAGGCTCCATACTGCCATACTGAACAATAAGCGAAATTAACAACTGTCAACTGTCCCAAATCGATACCTAGACTCGGACAGAGTCCTCCGAGGAGGATGCCGATCGCTCGAGCGCCCGCCGTTCGGGCACCAAGCTCGCCACGGCCGCCGGGGAGGAGGCTTCCGCTGCCGAAGAAGCTCGTCGGCGCGGGGCCGCCCTCGAAGCCGGAGTGTCACTTCCACTGCCACTGCGACGGCGATCGACCACCTCTGACTGGCTGTGTCGGACCACCTGCACATCTGACTGCACTGCCCCTGCCACGACACTGTCCACGGAGCGCTCGGTGGAGGATCTTTGGCTCGAAGCGTTGGAGAAGATCCTGGACCGGAGACGCAGGCTCTCGCTAACAACGGGGCTCATCTGGATGCTGTTGCCGACGTTTCGGAAGACCTCCGGAACGTGCCGCATTCCTCGGGCCACATTCGTGGAAATCCTGAGAACGAGGTGGGTGGAGCTGTCGTGTGCTCTCCTAGCAACGCTTTGTAGAACCCGCGTCACACTGCTCATATCCGAATGCTGCGCAGGCTGAACAGGTCCTCCGGTTTCGGAGCCATGCATGAAGTGGTTGATCCGGGGATCTTGAGGATCCTTCACAGCGCCTTGCTTCACCATGGCGGCCATGGAAATCTGAAAAGCCGGCCATGCCTCACAACAAGGACCGATGATGTCTTTGGTGAGGTGAAAGCATTCCAACGCGGATGGTCGATCCTTCGGCCTCTTCTCAAGAAGCATTTTCATCATATCGACGTACTTGAGGAACACTTCGTCTGTGGGCAGCGAGGGCAGTCGCAGAATACATCGAGCAGTCTCTTCCAAAATTTCCTTGGTGCCGGCTCCCCGGAACGGAAGCGTCTTGAAGATAAGGAAATGCAGAAGAACACCCAGCGAAAAGATGTCCACCTTCTCGTTGTACTCCGACCCAGTCACGACCTCGGGCGCGGCGTAGCCTGGTGAGCCCACGCATTCCCGCATGGCCCGGGTGTCGTGAACATAAGCTGCGATCCCATAGTCAATTAGGACGCAGTGGTCGTCCCGGACAACGATGTTCTCGGCCTTCACATCTCGATGCACGATCTTCAGGGCATGCAGGTGCGTGAGAGCTGCAGTAGTGCCCAGGATGATTTCGGTCAGGCTTTGCCTGTTGATCTTCGAGGAGGTTGCATGTTCGTGCACATCGCCCCCTGAGTAGAGCTCCATGACCATCACCCAACGGATCTCTGGACGGGCTTCCTCCGAGCCTCGGACGGAAGCTGCAAAAATCCCCAAGAGGGTGCTAACGTTCGGATGACCAGCGGCCGCTTGCATGAACTGAGCTTCCTTTTTGACTACATCGTCGTGGCTCGCTTTGGTCCAGACTTTTGCTGCCACCGCCGCGAAGTCGTGGACATGCTGAAGTTGCATAAAGTCCTTTGCGTCCTGCAAGACGTTGATGCCATCAGCTTCTGTTGGCAGCAGTGTAATGCCCGAAAAAACAGCTCCTTGACCACCTTGTCCTTGGCAGTCTCGCGAGATCTTAAAGCTGTCCGGAAGCTCCCAACGCAAGGCACCACGTCGACCCAGTTGAAAAAGGAAGTGCTGCAGAACCGTACTGGTAGCGCCTTTGACGCACAAGAACCATACCTGCACGCCGTTCCTGGAGGTCCGGTGGACGGACTTGGTGAAACGTGGTGCCACCAAAACGATGTGGCTGGGATCATTCTGACCAAGACCGTGCCTGGGCTTGACAGGCGCCCAGTGGACGTCGGCCAGAAGCAACGCAGCCAGCACGTGAGGCCTGGATGCCCTCCACTCGATGCAGTCTTTGCACAAAAAAAGCTGCTGTGCTGTGCTGTTCCTGCGCAAACCTTGCAAGTCGTTGCTCCACTCACCAAGGTCCTGTTGCATAGACGGTGGATGAGCTTCGGCGACACGTTGCACGAGATGTTCCAGGGCATTCCGCCGCGCCACGCCATCTGCGGGAAGTGGGTCAGAGCCTGAGGTCCATGCTTTGACTCCCCGCTGGCCACGGCGGACAGCGTCTTTTCGATACTCCAAGACATGGATGCCATGCAGCCAGCACTCCACAGTCATGCTCCACTTAGTGGAGTGATGAGAGTGCCAGCCGAGGAAACACAGAGATCTTCAGGAGGGGGCTGTAGCGTGTTTTCTGTGAACGTGGTAGGTTTACGCAAGCCTGTAGTCGGATCAAAGACAGGGACTACTTAAGCCCAAACGCTGCACCCTGCACATGGGCATTCATATGGATGTAGACACACGCGTTTAGAAATGCACAAGAACAGATGTATGTCATAGACATGTGTGTGTGTGTGTCCATGTTTGCTTGTTTATTCATGTGTTCAACCATTTGTCCAATGGTTCATCTTTGTCTTACACGCAATGCAATGTAAACCTAACTCCGAGACTACAGACTTCGTTCCCTCATGAACCCGAGTCCGCCACTTCCCCACGGAGGCATCGCCCAGCAGCACCAGCTTGAAGTGGAAAACGTTCTGGCGTGGTTGTTTACGTTGAAAGGTTAAGGTTAAGGCTTGCGGCTTTGGAGTCTTGAAGTTGTGCGGCTTTGGGGTCCGCGGGGTCAGCGCCAGGTTGAGGGGGGTTCCGGGTCGGTCTTTTGTTGCCTTCTGCACGGCTCGACGATGTCTACTAGGCAGGGAACATTGAAAAGGTTGACAGGTGCGTTCAACATCTACAGCTAAGCACAAAATACCCAAACCCGAAACCCAGAAACCCTAAACCCCCAAACCTCTGCACCCAAAGCCCGGAGGGCTTTCGGTTGCTTAGAGCTCACACTGAGTCCATCAGGCATCGATCCGCCGGGGCTGCGGGCTCAGGGCTTCAGCTTCAGGGAACCATCTTTTCGAGGGTGGAAGGGGCTGCTTATCTGGGGTTGAGGGCGTGTAGGGTGATATCGAAGAAGTGGTGCACAGTCTGCACACCCCAAGCCCTAACACCCGAAACCCTAAACTCCTAAACAATATAATCATATTTAACATGAATTAATATATAATGATATCTATCATGCCCCTCAAGGCCCTAATGACCCCAACACCCCCAAGCCCGAGTTGTCACGGTTGCTACCCAGACACATTCAATCAAGAGACAGACTCCTTCACTTCGAGTAAGAACTCTCCGAAACGTTAAGAGACATTCCTGGTAAGCCCTAATCCCCTAAACCCCTAAAGCCCTAAACCCTAAAGTCCGCCTGGGGAGCGCTCGCCATGACTTCGCCTGGGGATGGTTGTGCCCTATGTTAGATCTTCTTCAGGTGTGCTTCAAAGGTGCTACACGTACCTGGGGTTTTGGGAACTGGGAGTTTGGGGATTTTGGGGGATTTACGTGTTGGAGGCTAAAGAGTCTCGGGGAAGAGAAGTTTGCAGGTTTTGGGGCTTAGGCATCTGACCCGCTCTCGGGCAAACCAGGCAAGCATTGTATCGACTGCCTCACAAACCAACCCTGCAACATCCCAGGGCCTAGGGGTTAGGGGTCTAGGGTGTAGGGCCTAGGGTTCAGGGTTTTTGCGCCTTTGCGGTTTAGGGTTTAGTGCCTTTAGGGTTTAGGACCTAGGGTTGACACTAGGGTTTCATGAGGGTTTAGGAGCTTAGGGAGTGCCCCGATCCTTCTAAACAAGGCCCGGAGGGCCGGGCCTGCTTGGGATGTCACGGGTTCAACAGCGCTTTTTGCGTATCAAAAAAGCCCCGTGAGGCATTAAGGGTGTGTAGGGCCAGTACAGTAGGGTTTCGGGTCCAGGGCTAGGGGTTCAAAGCTGAGGACTCTTTGGGGGCGGGCAATCAAAAGCCCGGAAAGGCACGAAACTCTGAATCCCCCAATCTTCCCTCCCTCTTCAGGAGTCATAAGGTCTCTGAACCCAGGCACGAAATAATAGAACCTTTTCAGTGGCCGGGCTTTTTGTCGGATTAGTCTCAGGGTTGAGGGTTCAAGAGGTTCAAGGTCTCGTCTGAGCACCCCACAGGGCTCTGGCACAATGCTTGCCTTCAAAGCATTGAGCCCAAAACGCTGCGGCGGAGGCGGGAGCTGGGATTGAACTGAGTTGGGGAGCATCAACGTCTCCTAGCAATACGGTTGATGATATTTAAATCCTGCGTTACCCATATTTGAAGGAATAGACCATAATCCCCATAGTTTAGGGTCCTTAAGGTGATGCAGGATTTATATCATCAACCGTAGAATTGCGTACTTTGCAAGGTCCGTAGGATCCCTTGTTTTTTGCACAAGTCTACCTGCCACTATACGAAGCCAGGAGGGGCAATCACCAAAGAGCCCCAGCTCTTGTGCAGGGTTCGGGGGGTCTCAATTCCTGGTGCCCAACCCCTCAACAGGTTCTTGATGGCACCGCGGGTGATGATAACTTGGGCCTAAAAAGCGTAAGAGACCTCGCAGTAGTAGTGCCTGGTCTTCTCGCAGGGCTTGACTACAGAATACCCTAAACCCTAAACCCTAAGCCCTAAACCCTAAGAAGCCTAAGCCTAATAGAATCAGAAACATTACGAGGTCCCGGAAAGCAAAGATGCCCTGCAGAACCGGGCCCTTACGCCACGGAGTTTAGGAGTTTAGGGTTTACGCTCTCACAACGCGGACTAGCCAGGCGAGGTCCATGGTTCTAGGTCGGCGTGAAACAGGAGTCAGGAGTCCCTCAGGTTTTTGTTTTTTTTAAAAGGGCGCTTTTCCGTCTGCACGAAAAGTCTTCGGCTAAGGAAGCGTTTAGGGTTTAGGGTTTGTGTGGACTCCTTTCTTGGCTTCGCGGGGTGGACCTACGGCTCGCTTTGCTTCTACAGCACTGTAAGAGTGTAACTCCTAAACCCTAAAACCCTAAACCCCTAAACCCTGAACCCTAAAACCCTACACCCTAAAACCCTAAAACCCTACACCCTGAACCCTAAAACCCTACACCCTGAACCCTAAAACCCTACACCCTGAACCCTAAAACCCTAAGCCCTGAACCCTAAACCCTGAACCACTGTTGAATCTCCTACGAGATCTGGTGGCCTCAATGTTGGTCCCTGGGGCCCTGGCCAAATTGAGGGGGCTGAGTATACTCATCGGGTTCTGAAGCGAACACCAAAGGGCTAAATTTCCAAAAGATCTATTCCATGCAATGCCAAGTTCCCGTTGTGTACATCGTAAAACGCAAACCGCAGAGCCCAACACCCCCAACGTCCAGTCTGACACCCTCATGGCACTCCTTTCAGGAACCCCTTGTACAACTCCTGAGTGAACCCTTGAACAAAGGAACTGGACCCGCGCTCCGCCGAACCTTCCACGACTCCGTGCTGTCTTGGCCTCGGTTGCAGTCGTTGGTTCAACGTTCCTACATTTAAGTTTCGGTGTTGAGGGTCAATGGTTGCCATTACAGGCCTTCTGCATATAATTAAAACCTAAGGCTCGTGTCTAAACCCTAAACCCTACACCCCAAAATACGGTACTCAAGACAGTAGTCGAATTATTCCGGCCCCTGTTTGCCCTATACATTTCATTCGCAGCTTCCCAGGGAGCTGCGGAGCCAATTTCAAACTGCCGGGTTGCTTGGAATGACGCCGACCTCCGATACGACGACTGCAGGCGTCATATGGGGTTTTAACTTAAGGATTGGTAGTAAGCAATTACTTTTGCTTTTCCCCTTCTTTTAACGAGCCCTTGTCCAACTCAAGTGCTGCTGAAATCCCAGCATTCGGGGGGAGCATGTTTGCAGAGAGCCTCACGAACCCACAGGTCGAAAAACTAGTCCAAGGGCTTAGGGCTTACGCCGTCGCCTTCCTCAGGCCACAACACTGCTCTCGCAACTTCCGCCTTCACTCCCAAGACTCAAGAGGGTGCCGGGTTTAGGGTTTCGGGGCAACCTAAACCCTAAACCCCTAAACCCTAAACCATAAACCACTACATCCTAAATTCCTAAACCCTAACCCATATCGCCAAAGCCATGAGCATGAAAAGTGCAACCAGAGCGATGGTTTGAGAAGTCGTGGGCTGGAGCCGCGCCTTGAGAACCCAGTAACCCTTTATCGAGTAACCCCTGCTTCAGCAAACAAAGTACCGTTTGCAATGTGTAATATACAGCATATAGTGTGTATATTTGTATACACACACACATAGAGAGAGAGAGAGAGAGACATAATTATATATAAGATATCATAGATAGTGCCTCATATGGAATTTAGGCAGCAGGGAACCATCCTTAATGAAAGAGACAGTGGGCTCTCGGGGCCCTTTGCTGAAGCGCTTGCATTTCAGATCTTCTTAAGCAACATGGAGGTGCAACCCAAAGCCAGGAGTCGTTCAACCAATGCGAACCCTTGTCGGAACCTCAACTCAACCACTGAACTCAACACCTCTAAACCTTAAACCAGGCAACTGCCCCACCCTGTGTTGAGGCCGGGGCCAGGTCTGTGGCACGAAATTCCTCGGCGGAGGACCGGAGCGTCCGAAACCCTTCAGCCCCTCAAGGCCAGCTTGGGTCAACAAACCTTCGCGAACAGCCGTGGCTCTACCCCGCGGGGAATCGTGGTGGAAAGGCTCTACTCTGCTGAGTAGCTTTTCTCGGGAGATTCAATCTCAGAAGATGTCTTCGAAATGTGAGAGGTCTGCTGAGTGTGTCTCATGCTGGAAAGCCTTTGGAGGCATGCGCAGAGACCCAGCCCTGAACCCGAAAACGAAGCACGGGGCTCTAAAACCCGAAACCCACGCCACCACAGCCTGAACAATATAAGACTGTTGAACTGTTGAACCCCTTTTTCAAACTACGAGTACCACTTCTGCCGAGGTGCTGCAAATGCCTGTACCGAAGCGGAGCCCAGCAACTGGGGGATCACGGCAGCCTCATGCTCAGAAGCCCTATAAGCCCAAGAGACAGCCCTCAAGGGTTTATAGGGTTTAGGGTTCAGGGTTTTAGGGTTTAGGGTTCAAGCACAACCCCAAACCCTGTGACGCCTTGGCTTCGGATCTACAAAAATGGTGCTCCCTGCTCAGGCAAAACTTGCAAGCACCGGGTAGACCCTCCGACTCCTATAGTACAACCCTGTACCGACCTGCAGAATCCTGAACCATCAGAGCACTGT